TTTTTTTTTTTTTTTTTTTTTTTTTTATTTTTCTTTTCTTTTTTTTTATTTTGGTTTTTTTTTTTTTTTTTTTTAAAATATTTTTTTTTTTTTGTTTTTTTTTTTTTTTTTTTTTTTTAAAGGAACGGCAGTTAAATTTGTATTATGGAATTACGTAAGCCAACAGGTCACTGGGAATCGGTAGCATGAGCGCCCTCTTTCTGTTTCTGTTCAGGAGAATCCAGATGGCGTTGGATGTTATCTCTGTCAGCGGTCGCGGCGATTTCACCATATTGTGCATGAGGTAGGAGAACAAGCGGCACACGGGTAGGGCTTGGATCGGGGGGTTCAGAAGGTGCTCGTTCAGGAAAATGTCCAGGGCCTCCCGCAGACATGTATAAGACATGCCGTGGCAGATGAACATCAAGTCGGAGAGCTCCTTCAGGTAGCGATCGTAGGAGTCGATGACCTCGAACTTTGTCAGGTAGGGAAGGATCAGGTCGAAATAGACGTTGATCGAGTACTTGTTGCTTTCTTTGACGTCCGGGTCAGCTCCGAACCTCAGCAGTGATTTGATGACTGAGAGGTCAACGCCAATTGTGCAGGAGATAATTCGTATGTAGTTGAACAAATCGTATTTGAGTATGCGTCTGTTAGATTGGTCGTATTTCTCCACAGTGGCGACGAATTTCTTCAAAAGAAGCCTTGACCAATTACGGTTCTCAAAGTACTCGATGGAGCTCTTGGCACTGTCAAAAATGCAATTCATAGCCGACGAGAATCCCTTTCTGCTGAATTCCGTTTTGGTAAAATCGCCCTGGTTTCCTTCCTCGTAGAAGTGCGGGTTGGCCCTGGCCTCCAGCAGCATTTTCATGCATTCAATAAAGTACACAAGCTTCTTAACGTCCACAACGTTGAAGGCGCAGCAGATCAGCGTGTACAGGGGGTAGGTGCGGGGTATGTTGTGGGCGTTGACGTCCTCTTTGCAGTTGATGAGGACGCGCGTCATTTCCGGCATCATCTCGTACCGGAGATCCACGAGGCTCTGCGTGTACAGCAAGTGGAAGAGGTTCGCCCCGCCAATCAGCGCACCGGATTTTTTCTTTTTCTCGGACAGGAGGGCCGCCAGACCTTCGGGATACAATTCTCTGATGGACAACAGAACGGCGCACTGAAAATCCCCCTGGGACCACTTGCTGTTCAGGAGCAGCAAGACCGCTTGTGGGTTTCGCGCCTGTATCGCCAGCGTGAGAGGGTTGTTGATATTCAACTGCGGGGCGCGCTTCTGTATGGTATGTTCCAGGATGAACAAGACGCAGTCCAAGTGGCCGAACTCTGACGCGAGCGTCAGCGGAGTTTTGTTGTAAGCGCTGAAGGTACTGTCCTCGCTGTCGTGCATTCTCTGCTCCAGTTTCGGTTTGAACGATTTGTATTTCTTGTTACCCCGGACTCCCAGCTCAATGACCTTCTTCGCCTTCGCCGAGAGGTCAGAATCGGAGCTTGCCGTTGAATACCTGTGCTTGAGCTGGACCACGGCTGTTCGTTTCAACTGTGAGCAGGTCACCCTCACTTCATCGTGTTTATAACACGGCGACAGACACCTCTTGAAACTCTTCAGACTTGTTGGGATTTTCTCCAGCGTGACTCCCGGCCGGGACGAACTGGCGTCTCCGTTGAAATTGACCTTTACCGGGAATCCCGCCCCCCTGATGACGCCGTGATTTTCGGCGGACAGCACGTCCCAGGAAACCGTGATGACGTGTTGGCCACTCATATGTTTCTTCACCGCCTCCACCACGATCGGGAGGGGGGTCACGGTCCTTTGCTTTTTCTCGACTGCATCCGGTACCTTCTGGACGTGTTTCGTGTGCGGCGGCGATTTCACCTTTCGGTCTTTTTGCTCTGTTCGATTACTTCTCACTGCCACGGGGGGGACCGGCTGTTTCTGCTCCGTCTCTTCGTCACTGCCCGGTGGTTTCACTAGTGGCGGGAGCCGACCCCTCCGTCTTCTCTGAACCGTCTTGCCATCCTCCTCAAGCAGTAGCGATAAAGATGTGTTCTTCGCGATCTCCAACAGGCTCGCACTCTGCGTCAAAGTCTTGATCTTCTGCAGCAGCAGATTCATCTTGGCTTCGATTCTGCCGCCCAGGTGGTGCTTGACGCCCCTGAGGATGTGCTCCGGAAGTATCATCCTTTGGTGCGGGTTGGTAACTTTAAAAAAATCGTTTGGTCTGTGGCGTAGAATGACCCGTAGGCAGTCCTTGTAGCCCAGCATGGCGGCAAGATGCGCGTACGGGTTAGCGGGAGGGATGTAGGACTGGGGGAAGAGCGATGTACTCGACAGCAAGTGGTCGATCAATTCGTGTTTTTTATTGATGATGGCGTGATGGAGCAGGTCGAGGTTGTTTTCATCTTTCCATATGGTCACCTGATGCGTTAACGGCTCGCTTAAAGGGTGCAGCAGTGACTGGACCAGCGAGACGGCAACGCTCGCGTCACTGGTCACAGCGCGCACAATCACCTTCATCCTTTTGTCCAAATCGTCGGCTGTTTTACACGTGGATGTCAAACTCTTCCCACTCGCTGCCTCCTTACATAAGCAGACATGAACATCTTTATTATGATGTGATAGTCTGTAGTACGCTTGCGCGAACGTCTCTTTGACTGCTTTAGACATTGATCGTGAAGGGGGAAAAAATGTCTTCACGTAATGTTCAAAGAGAAAAATGCTTCCATTTTTTCCTTCTTTTGGTGTCTTTTTTAATGAATTTATTCTGAAAACGGCATGTCTTTTATAAAATAAATAAATAAAAAAACAAACATGCTATTCTTATGTGACCATGGATGTAACACAATAGTGTCAAGCGGTGCGCACTCGCACAACATGTCGATTCCAAAAAAGAATCTCCACTTTATTTATAGAAAGAGTCTCCATTTTTTAAAATTTGTGATTGTTAAAAAGCAGTGAAATTAAACAACAAAAAATGATTAAAACCTGAACTGCGACTTTATTATTTTACATAAACGTTTATTAATTTTTTTCCCTCCGATACCTTAAAAAAAAAATATGTTTGCAAGATTAGCTATTTTATTTTTAAATTGTCTTTTAAAGTGGGGCAGTAAATAAAGTTTGGACTTTAAAAACAATAACAACGTAAAAATGAGATAATTTTCAGTTTGGTCCCCAGAGGTGAATCAAGTTTCATTAAAATATGAAGGGGCGGGGACGGGGTCGGGGGGGGGGGTGTTTCAGACTACAAAACGCGGGTATAAAAATGAGATAATTTTCAGTTTGGTCCCCAGAGGTGAATCAAGTTTCATTAAAATATGAAGGGGCGGGGACGGGGTCGGGGGGGGGGGGTGGTTCAGACCACAAAACGCTGGTATTGGGAGCGTGTGCCCTGGTCTGTGGGAGCGTGTGCCCTGATCTGTGGGAGCGTGTGCCCTGATCTGTGGGAGCGTGTGCCCTGATCTGAAATCACACAATTTAAAAAAAAAAAATGCTTTTTTTCAACTCTAAATGTCCATCATTCAAATCTTGAAACCAAAACGAAGGTCTCGTCCTTATATGGCTAAATTTTAACATTGCAAAAAGGCAATAGCACTATTTGATGGCACACTAAAACAGCAGCTGTTACCATGACCAGGGTGAGGTTGTTGTTTTTTCTATTACCGTATGTCACACATGCTATGCTCATGTTTTTAAAGTCTCCTTCGCAACACAAAATTGACACAATATTATGTCGAGAGTTTTATTGAAATTTATTTCTCAGATCCAAAAAAAAATTAACAGTATACCTGATAAAAATACCAGGTATTAAAATAATTTTTAAATAATTATAATAATTATAAATAGATATGTGGTAATCAATGTCGGCTAAAAATTAATAGCACTTACAAAATTACTTTTGGAATGTCAATATAGATACTGGGTAAACAGGACATAAGCAACACAACTCAAAATAACCACAAGCAACAGTTGATTATTGCAATGTTATAAAGGGCGTTGACACATTGTGGGTACATTGACATAAGTATACCACCTATACCTCAAACCTCAGCTAAGTTGGTCAAATGGTGGATGAGATTTTCTTTGAAACTAAGGACATCAAGATATTGCCATTTTAACAAAGATGAAGTTCAGGGGGATGAGTGTGGGCAAATATTTTTGAGGGTGACAATCAATATGCTTATATTAAAAAATGTGTTAAACATGTCTGATTTACTATTTCCTAAATATGCATTACAAGTACAAGGGCTTGTAAAAATATACATTTTTTTGTTGTGTATACGTCAAAACCTGTTACGGTTACATACGTAAAACTTGTATTTTTTTGATGTTGAGACTTTGCAATAGCAGGTAGAAAGTAGTGTAATGTGCCGTCCATTATTATCCCTGAATCAGCGGGTCATATTTTCTTGTCAGGTTATATTTTAATTGAATTTAAATTAAAAAGAAAAAAAATTCAAAGAAATCGATATTACTATAGATGTCCACTCAGACACTAAATAAAAATAGATTACTTCATTAATTTAATTGACATTGCTTATTGCTTTCACTCCATGTTCATCCACTGCAAAACATTTGCAAAATTGTTAAGGTAAAAAGGCTTATGCTTAAACACCTGAATGATCCACAACGAATAACTAAAAAAGGCAAATATTGACATTACTGAAGTTTATGTGACCAGCTGCTGAAGTACCTGTGCATACAAAAATACTATTCTTTACCATTAGAGAAATTCAAATTGCTCCACACACAAAAATTATAACACATAGCTGGCAATGAGATGGAGATGGCATATCAAATGTGCTCTCAACTGGTCTATCTCTCAGCCAAGACAGGAAAACTAATACTGATCATATCTGTATATATGAGTGTATGAGGATGATGGAGCACTTGAGTTTGGGTGGTTTGAGTTCCCGAGCTGACCCAGCAGATGTTTTCATGCCAAGGACATGAGTATGGGCAAGTTTATCACAGTGGTGCTCAAAGTGGGACCCCCCTGTGGGGAAAAAGTCTAAAATGCTCTGTAGGGGGTGCTGGGATACTCATAACGGTCACTGGTCAATGACGACAGAGGTAAGTGAATTAAAAAACATAAATTGCTTTTTCAAGTTCTGAGACTGGTGATTTAAGAGTCCTGCCAGGTGTGACTCAGTTGGACAATGAAAAACTTGAATCACTCTGCCAACATTATCAGTGGAAAAATTAGTTATCTAAACTGGTACTAAGTTGTTCAACCAAAACACTTGTTCATGAATAATCCTGCTATAAAATACAGCGGTAGAATCAAAAATCTATTTATAATCAAATCAAATAAAGTGAAAAAAATGTCTATGTGCTCGGTTTAACATGTAAGCATTTTGTGACTCTTTTACATTTTATTTCGTAGTTACTTTCTAAAACTAATGATTCGGAATAACACATACAAACAGGGTTAGATGGGAGGGAGCTGGGATGAGATTATGGCACCAGAAGGGAAGCAGCGGCAAAAACAGTTTTTAACCACTGCCATCTCAAAAGAGTTTGGTTTATGTATTCATAAATTAAAACAGAATTCCCAGACATGTCAAATTTTCTAGAAACCTAATTAAATACATTAAAAAATGCCATTACAGCAAGTATTCACATAGTATTATTAGCAGGGCAAAATGCCAATTCTGGGCAATAAAAAGTAATAACTGTTAGTTTAAATGCAAAATAGGTGCTAATTCATTTTGCTTACTGTTGACAGTGCTGTAAGTGTGATTTAAGCTGGTAATTAGCAATCCCTAAATATAAGATTTTAGTATAAATGATAAATCCTTTATAAAATGTAGTACAGAGCAATGGGGTGGGGGGGGGGGGGTTTAGGGGGGGGTTGGGCTGAAAATTTGAC